TTAGCTTATCTGATGAACCCATCGTCGAAAACGAAGTGGTAACAAGACGATTCAGCGATAGGGTGAGCAATAATGTCTCGAATTCGAATGTGCTTTAATTCATATTTGATACTTACTTACAATGATACATTATAATTTATAGTTTCCAATGCTAAAGGCCTTACGACTGAACAAGCCCGAATACCCATTTCTCGCATTAGGTTTACTGATGGCCATTGCGGTTGGAATAATTGAACCTCTCTTCGCCCTAGTATACTCCGAAATGTTCGATGTGAGCTCGATTCAACCCTCATTTGCTCCTTTATTATTCAAGTCCACTGAAGATAAAATCTCATGACAAAAATAAAACCTCAGCTCAGTAGAGTTAAGTTTAAGGGATCTCCGCATGTTAAATGAATCTATCAGGAATCGCCAGATGGCGTGGAATTGCATAGGGCGGCTTATTTACCTATAATTCTGTGCGTTTTATTTATGCAGATAATTCAGACATTTAAATTAAGCTACTCACAGCCCGTATTTCTGAGAGGAAACGTAAGGTTTAGACCCAAACTGGTTGCTACAACCGTAGCCTACCTTATGTGGGAAATTAGTCTAAAGGTTTTTACAAGCTGAAGTTGCTAACAAAGGTATTAGCTTTGAGTTTTCCTTAAATTTAATTAATCCTCTCAGCATTCATCAAAATCATTGTGCTGGTACCTCAATCGGTAACCCTTTATATTACAACTGTAGATGTAGTTAAAGAAGTGACGACAAATTTTTTTTTGAAAAGAAGAAATTGTACTCGAAACGTCTAATTGCTCTTGAATTTGAGCCTGTTGCACGCCGCACTAATGCACGTGGAGCTCATGTGGCGTCTGACGAAACACTCTTTAATGTGATTTTCTGCCTTGTTTGTGGAATAAGCAGGAGGCTTTCACTTTTAACGTTGCTATTCGAATTTGTCATTTAGCTCGCTTTGATGATCTTCACACCGAAAAAAATGCAACGCAAGGCCAACGAGCTTGCTGTCACTATGATTGTCCTTGGAATCATGCGAATGGTTGCTACATTCATACAAGTACGTTAGACGCTAGTTTTTTGTGAAAAAAGAATACACTTGGCGGAATTCTCGGGTTTTGGCTACAGAACACAGACCAGTAACCAAAACTAGAGCCAAGTTTTATGGAATAGCAGTCAGAGAGTTTTATAAATTGGTTTCTGGGCAGACAAATGGTTGCCCAAAATCTAATTTGTAGCCAACAGTGATCACAAAAAAAATCAATTTACAATGTTAGTTGTGATTTTCGCAGCTACGGAGGTGTCTGTTGCCTGTGTGGTACATGCGCAAGTGATAGCTAAACACGTAAATACCACACCTGTAGTGCTAATGCACTCAGCACTATTAAAACCCCTTCCACGGATGCGAGTATTCCATTTAACAGTTTTGGCTTTAACATGTGTTCTGTGTCTTACGAAAATCCAACCAGACCAGCTTTTCGGTGCTGTTTGCACATAGGTACATGTAAATTGAGAGCATATATGTTCATGTGTACTTGAATTTTCCCTCATTTTAGAGGACAATGCTTGGAATTGCTGGAGAAAGATTAACCAGGAGGGTCCGAGCCATGCTATTTAAATCCATTCTAAAGCAGGTGAGTGGTATTTTAAAGTAGCATCATTAGAGCAGCAACCTTTAAATTGTATTTTTGCTTCAACGAAAGTTTTTTTTAAATCTTGATAATTTATAAACAGCATAACTCATGTCATCTGTGTTTAATAGTGCTAGACAGTTTGACCAAGGGGGAAACCCATGATTACGTACTTTTCATAAATTAATTCTGGGGCTGTTGTGTTAAAGTTTCATGGTAACGAGCACAAGTACTTTCTAAAACGACTCTCAACAGCGTTTTTCAAAGTGTATTGTTTAAATGGAAAGGAACCACTTTCTGAAAATGGACTACGCCCTTTCACTGACAAATCATTTGGCGCCCATACCTCCAAGCACTCAGCTAGAAGCTCTCCATATTGTGCATCATTAAGGGTTGACAAAGGAGTTGTTAGTAATTCACAGCTTACAGTTCCTCCGCGACCAAACACCGGAGTTTTCCCCCCATCTTAAGCTGTTTAATTGGACTTTCCAAGTTGAGATTCAAGATTTGCAGAGAACATCAACATAAACTATAACCTAACTTTTCCTACCTACGGCTTCTTTTTTAAAAAAATTTCTTAGAACTGATATAAATTGCTGCAATCTCTTTCCAATCATTGCCTTTGGATTTATAGCAATTGAAATAATTAAGTAACGGTAACACATCATACATGATAGTCCTTTCGTGGTGATTGGATTTTGCAGTGCTTAATATCACGACAGAAATCTCAGAACCTCCTACGCAACGGTTCACCTAGGAACTTTCCTTATTCACGAAATATACAGTTACCACTCTACTTTTTACCTTTTTGGTGTTTGAGCGCATGGTGGCAATTACTAAGGCTACCTTAAAGACAAAAATCCAATGTTTTGTCTATGACACTGTGTCAAAACTATATCCGCACCATTCCTGTAGGATTTCTGAAGTGTTCTGACCTAATTTTATTCTGTTTTCATGCGTAATTCCTAACGTCTTTCAGCGTTGCCCAGTAGGTAACTTTTGATGAGGAAATTATACTTTAAGATAGAGCATGTGCTTCTCAAGTACTCACTGGAATAGTCAGATTTCTGTAAAAAGGGAATCTGGACTACTCAAACGTCCAATTAGTACACACTAAGACGGCAACTAAGACCTCACGGTTCGTTTTTCTAGGAGGTGGCGTGGTTTGACAAGCACGAGAACCAGCCGGGTGTTCTCACTGCCCGCCTTGCTGCCGATGCGCCTTCACTGGAGAAGATCTCCGGTTCTCAACTCGGTGTTATGGTGGAGGCGGCCTGCCTCGTCATTGTTTCCCTCGCTATAGCCGCTAATTTCAATTGGAAAGTGACCCTCGTTAACCTGGCCTTCTTCCCCTTCCTCGTTCTCGCCAGCATTCTCCAGGTAAATTCTTTCACACATCCAAAAACAGCCAAGGTAACTTGTGCTCATATTTTGGCCACCTTATTAAAAATCTCCTCAAGCAGGACTCGACCTTTGTCCTCACATAGGTCCATCACCACTGTAATGAAAGTTGTAAGGAATATTCACAAGTGTTCTTCTTTATTATAGCCAATTAACAGCTCTGCTTAGTATGGCCTTAAATACATTTCATGGTGCCAAAAATGTAGTAAGCTATGCTCCGCTAATACCTCCACACGAATCAGGAAAGTCCATATTACGTGAATGGAATTGCGCGCATGCATTATTACCATATTAAGAGGTATAACAGGCTGCTAATATTAATTTTTCCCACAGCTCAAAGACCTCTCGGCATCGGAACAGAGGCGGTATCTCGGTGGCGTTAGTGTCGCTCAGGAGGCCATTTCCGCTCACCGGATTGTCTCCAGCTTTGGCCTCGAGAATTACTACAGCCAACTGTTTCTGGATAAATGTGGAAGTGCTACTGGGTAAGTTTACCTCAACGGAGTCACAAAACCTGTGAGACTTTGCCACCACCAACATATCATTCAAGTCAACAACTAATGGTAATAAAATGTTGTCATTACATGTGGGGCCAGGCTCACACCACTTCTCAAGGTTGACTTGAATTGACTTCTCATTGTGAGTGATTGTGCATGTGTGTGTGTGTGTGCGTTTTTGCCACACTTGGCAGTCGTCAGCGCCTCCTGCCTTGCCTCTCACCTCAGTACACTTTTGCGTCATCAGGAAGGTCACTCAGTTGTGGCTGTGTCGCACATTTGCCCACCTTGTTTCCTTTACTCCTGTTTCAGAATAATCGACTGGCCAAATATCTTCTTCTCAACTGTCAGCACTGTGGCCCAATCCATGCAGTACTTTCAGATGGCAGCGTCTTTCTCCGTTGGGGCGACCCTTCTGCGCCAAAAGGAAATCGGAACGTTCACCGTTTTCCGGTATGTCTAAAGTGGAAGGTTGTGGACACCGATGACCTCTTAGCCACGAAAATTCGCTCACAAATCAACCAGCACTAATGGTGGAACTTTACAGAATCAAGTTTTAGAGGACCTGGACTGAACTAAGTTGCCACGTCGGGTCACCAAGTGAACAGGCCCCACTGCGGGTCTCGAATTACGTTGCATTGGCCCTCTTAGGCTATGCAGATGATCGGGAAAATTAAGAATACAGAAGGCGACGGCGCCAAATAGTGTGTTGAACGGCTTAACCACGTTGTGCTTATGTGTGCATACAAAGTCATAAATAGGCGAAATATGACTGATCAGACTGTCAACCAATGGAATTCGGATGAACTAACAAATGTGAATTATATGGTGGGTGGTCGGAGTGACAGAACGGGTATGGACACACACGGATGCATGACCATGCATGTCCGTTGAGAAGCTGGGTGGCGAGGGTGTTAAAGAGTGCAGCCAGATACCTGAATACATACACAAGCGCGTCCCATAAACAAAAGGTTAAAAACCAAGCCTCAAAAGCTGTTGCTAAAATTGATCATTCTAACCCGAAAATTCCGGCCTGAAATAATATTCAAACGGATAGCCTTCATGGCTCTTCATGGGTTTACTGGTGTTTTACGCGAATAGTCAAATAGCTCAGGTTATTTCGTTATCATTAGAAATTCACGCATTCCTCAGAGCGCTAACGCTATTCATGATACGTTTTCGGATGAAGAATATCCGATAGAATTTAAGTTGTGACGACCTCGGCGTCCTAACTGGGTCATTTACGCAGCCCAAGGTGGAAAGTTTTGAGTGAAAAATGGAATTGAGTGTCAGATAACCTGAGCATCTGAGAATTTGCATTTCATTCCAAAAAGAACACAGATGCTCAGATAACTTGCACATTGGCATTTCAGTAGTCAATGGACGTGGATTACTTGAGGTACATAATGAATACTCTTGAACAATGTGAAATTTTGTGCCCTATAACCGAATATAATCTAAAAAAGAGAAAAAAAGCGAACTTACCAACTCCTATTTAATTTGTTACGCTCTTCCTCAACGTGAATAGAATCTACGGTCTGGAAATTTAAAAAAAAATTATGGATCTGGGGGGTGAAAACATGTAGCAAGCGGTTTGAAACAAATTGATTGGGCCACGCACGTAACTTTAAGATATTTGTAAAGTCGAAAATCATGATTAGTTTCAGATTCCCAATTTTGCTGAAACCCTGTATTAGAGACGGGATTTTAAGTTCTAGAGAACTTGAAGCAAATCGCTCTCTTTTACAATCTAGCAATCCACCCGGCTACAATGCAACTCCATAGAGCGAACGTGTTCTTTCGGACGAATGTGTGATTGGTTCTTTAATATGAGCATCAGCCAATCAACTTGTTGACCGTTGTAGCCTGTCGTGCAAGTCGCTGAGGTGCAATGTCGTAATGTTTTCGATATTTTGTTTTAGGGTTTTCACTCTCATCAGCTTCTCCGCTCAGGGTGTCGGTCGTGCAGCTTCATTCCTACCTGATTTAAAAAGTGCCAATACCGGTGCCAAGCAGATTATGGATTTGCTAGGACGGCAAACCAAAATGGACGTAGACGATGGCGAGGCCCCGGAAAAGCCATTTTCGGGCCAAATTGATTTCAAAGATGTCATGTTTTCATATCCAGATCGCAAGTTCGTGAAAGTTCTCAAAGGCTTCAGTCATTCCATTGGAGCAGGAACTTCTGTTGCTCTGGTCGGTCAATCGGGCTGTGGCAAATCGACTATTCTCCAGCTTATGCAGCGCTTTTACGACGTCGATAATGCTGCTAACGAACAAGGTGTCTTTATGGATGGGAAAAACGTCAAATCACTGGCACCTAATTGGATACGCCAGCATATTGGCTTTGTCTTCCAAAATTCTGACCTATTCGATCTCTCGATCAGAGAAAATATTGCTTTTGGTGATTGTTCACGTGAACTCTCGATGGACGAGATTATCGAGGCCGCGAGGATCGCCAAGATCCACGATTTCATTACGAACTTGCCTATGGTAAATTCCGATTGTTTTTCTTGGGAAACTGTTCATAATTCTGCATCAGATCCAGATCTCTTAAGGTTGAATGCTGGCTCTGTCTGTTCCAGCACTGTAATATTGCTCAATACGCTAATTGATAATTAAAAAGGGCTTCATTAAGATAATGCAGGGTTAAAGCTGTAGTTTCACAAAGTTCGGAATCAACACTGGCATGTTTAAATGAAGTAGCAGCTTGGTCTCAAAAACCAAAGCTTTTAACCTGTAAAAGATGCATGTACTTGAACTCCGTCTGGGGACTTGGAGGTCAATGCATCACGCATACACTCAAATACCTAGTCGTCGAATTTAACTTTTGTGCTTTGGAAACAACCCTGGTGAATTGGCAAAATCACTAGTGTCATTTGGGCTGTATTTTGTAGGGCTACGAGACGACAGTAGGAATCCAAGGATCCCAGCTGTCTGGCGGTCAGAGGCAGCGCCTTGCAATTGCCCGAGCTCTGGTGAGGAAACCAGCATTGCTTCTTCTCGACGAAGCCACGTCAGCGCTGGACGCTGAAAATGAACGCGACGTCCAAAATGCCCTTTCCGAGACCATCGCCAACTCCTCCATAACGTGCATTGTTGTCGCCCATCGGCTGTCAACTGTCGAGGCTTGTGATTGCGTTGTAGTGGTGGACAACGGCCAGAAAATCGAATGCGGTCCACCGGGGGCCCTACTTCAAGCTCGTGGGGCCTTCTACGCTCTTCATAGTGCCTCAGCCTAAGTCTTTCCGCTGTATTTGTAACTTATTTTACTACTTACGATAGATGCGAATGTTTTGTGCATAATTCGCTCTTATGAAAAAGAAAGAAAATACAACCTTCTTTTTCAATCAATTTAACACTTTCAATTCTGGTACGAATTCTCAACTGTCAGGTGTGGTACTTTTATATTTATTGCCATCGGCTGAAAGCCATTTTTATCAATGGAACATATATCAATTCCTGGTAAATTGTTTTAATTCCGGAGGTTTACTGTTCAATCTTGAAGAAGCCTGAGATTTGCAGGGCGGTGTCGAAAGTGGTATGATCTGTACCTGGATTCCTTGGCGTATTCAACGTTCAGACTGGTTGGAGGCCGATAGGTCACAAGGGCGTGGCCTTGAACTTGGTAATTTCTATTAAAGGTGCGAATTCTGACCACTTCAGTGTAGTTGAGTGGACTGACGAATGTTGTGGGGTAGGGGCCGTATGTACAGCGCATTTTCACCAAAGATTTTTGGAAACGATCTTGAAATGCCAACTCGAACACAATTATCGCTGACTTAAGCTCAAACTAAGCCACAAGTGCCCTCAGCTTCCCGCACCCGTATGTTAAGGCACGTGGACATCAAGGCGTTATCTGCCACACCCAAAAAACCACATGCCAATTGATGTGAGTTCCGAACAGTTTTGTTTCCTGTTGATCCCATCGTGGGGAGGGATTCAACGTAGTGACAAATCACCGGACGGGAATTCCTTCTTGTCACCTCATTTACTGTAACCAAATACGGAAACGTCTTTGCATAATCGCATCTACAAATGGGCCTCTCTAAGGAGTTTTGGCAAAACGGAAAATCTAGGCGAAGCCATAACACCCAAACGCCATCATTTTACCTGTGGCTAGATTCAAACGGCAATTGTTAAAGCGACCATCATGGTTAATGAACACCGTGAGTATGTCATGCAGACGGTGTTGTCCACCAGTTAATGCAAGTCATTTGCCTCGCCAGAACTAAAAATGAAGATGTGGACTTTTGGTTTTAGTCGTAAAAGACATCTTAATGCATATCCTCTTGTCAGACATTCTCAATTAGCAGAACGTTTTTGCCAGCCTAACTTGTGAGGTGATTAGTACAAATACCCTTTACTCAAAACGCACTTCACCATTTTCCATTATATGTCACGTGAGCCACTCACAAGTCCAGCCCATGAATACCACTTTAACACGAGAGACGGTCATAGACTTTCAAAGAACATAAATGTTGTGCATCACCAAATCCCAGTTTGTCAAGCTCAACGTCACAGAAGCCATCCAGGGGTGATTACATTACTCAAGCCATAATCCTGCAGTCACGGGTGTAAAATAAATAATCACCCTCAGTTACACGGATAAAGGAATTCATCACCTTACAATTGTTCGAGGCGATGAATGTAACTATGATAGATTTGTTCGAAATATTTTCTCCCACCACCCAGATTGTTATACCATTTGTTCCAGTGATATCACTGCCATTTTTATTGGCAGTTCCAGTTCATCAAGTTCCACAGATAATGACTCACGGACCCAAGGAATAGACATGTTGACGCCCATGAAGATGCAAAAGGTAGGCCTCCTAAATGAGTCTCAAAACGTAAATAGACAACCAGAATCGCAAATTAGGAGGGATCAGTTACAGTCAAGATCACTATCACGAAATTCAATACTCGCAGGTTCCAAGAGGAAGCAATTCTGGAATGCACTGATGCTATGCCAATTCAGAAAACTGCTTCCATGTTCGTACTTTTGGGTGAGTTTTCGACTATCCAGTGAGCAAAGTGACTGGACACAGCCGTCTCATGGTAGGTCTTGACTTGTTAAATTCCAAGAGAATTCAAGGACTGTCAGATCCTGGATGCCTTAGGCCTCTCATTCAATAGCCGCAAGCAGTAACTGACAGATAGACCCACTGACTTATCAGTTATTGGCAGGCTTTTTCATTTTGGTCCGTTTTATCTGTGCTACCCGCACGAAATCTGAAAGAATTAGACAAAGCGAGTTAAATAATTAACTAGTTTCGACTTGTGGAATTTTAAAATCAACCATTCCTTGAAGACACCATCCGAGATGCCTCAATTACTTTAACTAACAGACGACTCACGCTTTGCCGTTTCCCGAAGCATTGGTTACCATTTTGCACAACCAGCCTTTTCTTTCCTCAAGTTTTAAATAAAACAAATGTCCAAAACCATAACGAGCTACCAAAGTAGTGCAGTGCAATGTGGTGCTACGCACTGTGGACTCTGTGGGCAAACTTGCGTTGAGATCAGACTCAAACACGTGCCACAATTTAGCATCGTAGTATCCTCTCAAATTGTACCGACCTCACTTTTATGTTCCTTGACGATCACGGAACCAGGCAACGTGTACACCTAGAGGAACACGCGGCACTCTCTTCCGTAACTGCACTCCGTCAGTTTGTCTTGCAGCGTATCCACTGCAGTGTCCTTGGAACATTTGTCATTTTATTTCCGCACAAACCCTTGTTTTCCTATACTGATTTTGTTGGAACACTATTTGAAATCCCCAATAGTTGCAAGGAATCTCTTTTTTTAATATGCATTTACTCGTTACTCTACCCATTGTCGCAATATTTATTGTATAGGATAGCAAGAATATATATGCTTTACCGGGTCGCTTTTGCTATTTCTGCTGGTGTTGTTTACAGTCCCCTTGTTCCCTTAAAATTCATTTGTCTAAAACATTCCTGTAAAACAAAGCGATTAAACCCACTTAGTCCCGTTAGGTTTTAATGGAATTTGTCATTTATAACTATTCACCATCTTAAAACTTCGAACTCTGGTCTGATCGAAGGACGCACATTCACTTTCACTTCAGTGAGTCCACAGAAAAGTTCAATTTCATGGCCATTCGGTTAACGAAAAAATCATTTTGCCAAAATGCACCAGCGCTCATCATGCAGGTCAGCTGACCTGAACTTCAATTTACATAACAGTTACCTCTCCTCCACCTTGACTGTGGCCACTACAATGTGGGCAACCTGACCAAGGTCGCGACAAATGTCTGATATAACAGAAAACCCTAATACATGCAAGTCTATTTGAATGTCTTTGGAACCAATTATGTTAGTTGTCTTAGGATGTCGTCTATTTTTAACATCAACTTCCGAATGAAAGCTACATTAATGACGAAAATGTAATCACATTTGTGTGGATCATCAAAGCCCCGCCAGCCCATGATCAAGCCAAAAACATTCTGGAAGACATAAGTTGGTGGAAACACTTAGGCATCCACTTGGTTCGATCGGACTTCAATTGTTGACACTTCTTCACAGTTGTGATGGTTGAGACTTCTGCGCCAATGTGATTCATAACACGCAGAGTTTGAATTTTCCCGCATTCAGTGGGTTGAGAATAATTGGCATGAAAGATGATGATTCAGCGTTTCGAGAATCCCTCCGTGGCTTGTAATGACGGACGTAATTTCCGTCCCACGTTGCATTTCATCAAAACTGTGTTTTTTTCAAAGGCAAGCAAAAGTGATGGATATAGGATCAGCAAATCCACGTAAAATCCCCAGAATGATATCCGCTGTCACATTCTGCAGTATGTGATAATAGCACGAACGATACGCAAAATCGTACAACTGAAATCCCACATGTGTGACATGTACTTTGTTTGTTTGCACATGTCCTTCGTCAACCACTTTCGGTCGCTTTCTCATTCTCCCTAAGGCATTTGTCCGAATAACAAATCGTTTTTTGGATAGAATGTCTTTTCAACATGTTTAATTTTAACCCTGCTTGCTCCCTTCCGCCCAACATTGGCGCAAATTTTAATTTCCTTTCTAAGTTTAAGATCACCTTTTCCAGAGGAACAAAGATAGCAAGATGGCGACGAAGAACGCTTGTTGTAGACACTTGCTCAAACATGAAAGTAGCCTCATTGTCCTCATCTCATTGCATTCATTATCATTAATGGTTGACGTACTGTCAAGTACCTAGGTAGTGGACTCCCAGCGGATGCGTACGAGCGATTGGTATTCGTGACTGGCCACTGCCTTTCGTTGATCGCTATTCTCAAATACTGTAGAAGCACGGTTAAGCAGTTGTGATCGCCTCGTCATTTCGACCTCATCTCGGATGCTTATGGTGCTAAATTGATGTTGCAACATAGCTTGCACACTCTTATGCAGTATACATTGACTGCTGTAGAAAACCCATGAACGTTACTTTGTGGGGCATATGCATTCCGACCGTTTTTAGGACCCTCAAAATTTTAATGCTGGGTCAAGTGAAAATGAATTACCAAGTTTTAGCGAGTCTCTACTATGTTGTCTTGCTCACCAATTTCTTATATCCGTGTCATCTGACAAGGTGAACGTTACCGCTAACCAGTACGAGACATTTCTAAGTTTTAACCGTTTACAATGATCCCGAGAAGAACGATTCTGTAGATACTAAAAAAATTTTGCTGTCATACTATTTTTAAACCGAACATTTTTATCCACAATCTAAAGAAGCAATTTTTCATGACTATTAGTTACACTCTTAGGATCACCAATTTGTCTTCTTTATAAGGGAGAGGGGTCATCCAATTTTGACTTGCTTCTAATCAAAAATCTGTGAACAAAATCGGGAACGTTTCTAAGCTTTTCTACCACAAAACCAAAATTTAACGGTGCTGTTACGAGACAGTTTATATTTACACAAAATAATAAGGAACAATTTTTTGGTTTTCAATTGCGTAATGCTCGTGGCATACGACAACGCAATCAACACAAATATCTCCAGGAATAGAAACTAGCTGTGAATATCTTGGTTAAATTCCTAGTACTTTTGCGAAACTTCCAATCGTCGTTTCAACTTCTCCCACGTGCTCGTATTTATAGTGGGATCTCAATAACTAAACTCAAATAGGTAATTGTCTGGGGGAACATAGTATTAGCTTTTCAAGAAATCGGATTATCTGTCTTCGACTCAACAAGTTACTCCTTTTCTCTAATCTAGGCAGCTTCCAATCTTTA